ACCCTAACCTTAGCACAGACCCTAACCCTAATCTAAACGAACTTAACGATTTTTGTACGATCACGTGATCGAAAAAATTGGTGGCGATGCTGGGGAAGATGAATCTAAGATCGACGTCACGGGCCAAAAGTGTCGGAAATCGGATCTTCAATCGATCGATGAGGTTACGAACTTAGTAGGTCACGGGTAATTTCGAAGATCTTCTATTGTTTGATTAATTGTCAGTAACAATTGATTTTAGAGATAATTGGGTATTTACTATATAAAGATAGTTTATATGTATATGGGTCTCTTTCTACTTTTACAAACAACACTACTTCTAAATTACTAATGGGACAGGAATGGTTTTACTTAAGTGATTTTGGGGCAGAAAGAGCAATTATTTTCTTCTATGTTGATTTCAAAGTTTTAAAACTCTAATGAGTTATCTTTATTTCAAACAAGCCAAAGGCTCTTTATATAATGCATTTTTACAGACTAATATTTTACGAAATAGATTCTATCGATTCCATGGAGTCCATGGACTGCATGGAGTTGATTTTGACCATAAATAAAAATCCAGACATGATAGCTGAAAATAGGAATGATACACTAATAATAAAATGTACAAAAATAGAAAAATACTATGTTATAAGAAAATAAAAGAAAAAAATATTGGCACAGCCCAAGTTCGGGTTATGCTGTGCTGAATTCGACCCTTACAGCAGTCAAGAGAAAATATACACATTTTTGTACAACTGATAGATATAGTATATTTTACAATCTATCAATTAGTTGCACAAAAATGTGTGTTTTCTCTTAGCCACACTCATATAATCATGATCTTGCTTTCTCTGGGTTTTTGTAAGTTCTTAGTGTCGGAAGATTAAGTATATCAGGACGGCCCACAAAGCTTGAGTTGATGATCACCATTGGATTGATAATTGAGGTTGGATCAATAATTGATATCACTGCTGTAGCCACAGAGCCCTGCAACAGCCTACTGAGGTGGTCTGCCAAAGTCCGGGATGATGATCTACCCAGACTTTGGAAGCTGCCCTGATATACTCAATTTTAGCTAGTGTTAATCTGCATATTACCTTTCAAAACAAGATTAACAGTTCAACTAATAACAGGGAGTCACATGAGTACAGGAACACAAAAACCATGCAGTGATTTGTTAAAGTTGTAAGTATGTATTTAGATAAGAGGGTGTAGTTACATGATTTGGCAATTCAAAAGAATACATATATGCAAATTTTATAGAATCAAATAATGAGTGTCCTTTATTAATAGGTATCCATAGGCTGTACTAAATATAGTACAAAATACTCAATTTAGTATAGTAAAACTATTAAATTTTTGAAAAATTGTTATTATTAACTTATATAAAATGTAATTCTATATCTATATTAGATTTTGGTATATTTAAAAATTTAATAACTTAATAACTTAAACCTGGCACGGGTTATAATAGTGTACTTTCTCTTTTTTCTTTCGTTCTATTTGTACTGCTTCTTGATAGAGGTAGTTCCCCCCTTGGGTTTTTCTCTTTGATTTTCTTTTTTACATTTCATTGTACCCCTTTTATTTTTTCCTTTAAAAATTCTCCTTTGTTCTATTTGTTTTTTTTAGTTAGTTTTTCATTTTGTTTTCTTGGTACTATTGGTAGTTTTGTACTAGATATAAGATCATTACTTTCTTTTGCTCTTGGTAAAGAAAGAGAATATGAAGGGAAAAGTTTTGATGGGCTAACAAAGTTTATCTGACTTGTTTACAGGTTGGTGCGACATGTCACATCTGGGCACACATGATGTAGCTGAGTGATGTCGGGCTTGCAATTTTTAATTAGATATTATTAGAATTTTTGAAACTTTGTTTTGTAGTCTAGTAGTAATATAATTTGTATTTGAGCACCGACAAGACTGTCAAAGAATAAAAATAAAAAATAAAATAACTTAATAAAAGTTATATTAATAAGTTTAAAAATTATAACTCCATTTTTTTTTGTTAAAGCTATAAAAAAAGTAATATTATTGCAAATAAAAAAATTTATTTAATTAAACTATTTTTTTCTTTAATAAAAGTTGTAAAAGCTAAATTTTCCAAATCTAATGATAGTAAAATCATTAAAATTAGTTCAGCAAATAAAAAATTATATAAAATTAAATTTTATTAAAATTTTTATATATTTTACTATATAGTATATATAAAAAATTAACTATTTTTAGACTTGTATTTGTTTAAACTATTTTAAAAATTCATTATTTAAATAAAATAATTATTTTAAAATCAATTATAGATCTAAAATAATTTAAATTTTTTGTATTTTTATAATTTTATTATAAATTTTTGTATAATATAATTTTTTTATTTTTTTTTATTTTTTATTTTTTTTTTTTTAAAAAATTCGGCAGTCTTGCCTTCACTTTATTAGGCTTTGTAATAATTATCTAAACTATTAAAATTTTCTACAGAGTT